AATATTATCAATCTCTGTATTCTTAACCTTTTCCTCTGTCTCAACCTTACAACAGTAAACAAAGCTTAATTTAAGGCATCAACAGACAAGCCTTCTCTCCAGAAATGCCTGAGCATTGAATAAATTCATGTTGATTTATCAATGAATACTGTATAGTCAAAGTAAATGCGATATCATTTGTTTAAACACTGGTGAATTTAAGTGTACCCATTTTACAGCATCTGCATTCATATCCCAGAAGCCTCTCTGATCTATTATGATCCTGAAGAAACTGATAAATTTTAACAAAAAGAATTTTCCCATCATCCAACAGAAAAAGACTCACCAGTTTTCATGTTGAGACTTGTAATAGACAAACTAAAACCAATATTCACTAAGTATTACTGGGTAGACAATTAAAACACACTGAAATACAAAAATGGTACTTACACCATTAACTAATCACCACAACCAAGAATCTCACACCAAGCTTATGTATTAATCTTTGCACAGAAAGCATGAATTTGTAGTTAGAGTCCCAAACTCTTCCGGGCTTTTTACAGGATCCCTTCTCCATACCCATCTCATTGCCAGTCTTCCAAGGATCCCTTTAAAGCTATTTCACCCAATCTCCTTAGCATCATTGAAGTGATCTCCTATAGCAAAGCACTCTTTAGTCTTAAAATCTCAATAAGCCCCATCTCTTCAAACATTCTCACCACCATTCTGCTTGGACTTTAAAACAAAAACATTCTTGACACTGTGTTCTGACTTCCCCTCTGCATCCTTGAAAATTGAGGGTCTGTATCCAGAAAAAGCAGTCGCTCCTCTCTTCTGGCAAGTGATGAAAACTTCAGTTTTTTAATGTGTTCCAGTTTGAGCCTCTCTCCCAATGATGTTAAGCCTGATTTTTTTTATTTATGCTTCTTAAAATTGAACCGAAATGATAAAGGGCTGTTTTAAAACCAGTGTTTTAAAGGATGCTTTGAAAAACAAGTACTGTGACATTTATGTCAAGTATTGCGTAAGTAACTGTTTGAACAAGCAGTAATTGAAAAGGTTGCAGTGTTGAAGCCGAGGGCTTTTCTGTGCAGATGCAGCTGGGTTGCAACAAGAAGTTGATAGGTCTGTGGATTAGTGACGTTATTAATGACAAAAGTATTTTGCACGCTGACAACTGCGTGATTGATTTTCAGGTGAATGAATCGCTTGGGGGGCTGCAATCAAGACAGACAGGAAACGTTTTCATCTCCACCAGCACAGAAGCTGTCTGCCTGTTCGCTGCAGTCAGAACTTTTTAAACCCGAAGCAAACTGGTCCATTTTTCTTCAGTAAAGTTACAACACTTGCAGCAAGATAACCTTGTATCTCTTGCAAACCAGTGGAAGTATCCGGAGGAAAGCAACTGAGAAGCAACATTCTGATCAGTGTAATGTTCGTAAGGATCATCTCAATCTGTAAATAGAAACCACTGAACTGCCTCCCAACTTTCCTCTCCCCATACTCCTAACATATTTTTACCTGTTTGTCTGCATGTGTGCAAGTTTAAAAAAACCAAATGTCTAATTTGTAATTTTATATGCCAATAATTTGTAACTATTTACCTGTAGCAACAACTTAATTAATTGTCATAAATAGTAATTTCTGTTAAGGACAAAAACCTTGTCCATGCTTTCTATCAATCTGGGTTAGAAAATCAGATAAACTGAGGAATGATGCATACTTATTTTAAAATCTTCAACTTCTGTTATAACTCTGGCAACAACAGGGCTTCATTTCCAACATGCTACTTCAGTAAGTCATGACAATGGCAACCAAAACATACAAGGTTTGTATACTTCCATAATTTCCCATTCTAGGACAAGCGGCATTACCTTTAAAATAAAACAGATAGTTCAAAATATAACTGGCTTCTTTGCTCCTATGTTGCTGCCTACATGCAGTCTATTCCAATCTCTCATTTTGTGTCTTCACTGCACACAAACAACGCAATCTTCTTTAACAGCAGAGATAACAAGGTGTAGAGCTGGATGAACACAGCAGGCCAAGCAGTATCAGAGGAGCAGGAAGGCTGACGTTTCGGGCCTATAGTCTTCTTCAGAAAATTTTCTGCTGTGTTCATCCAGTTCTACACCTTGTTATCTCAGATTCTCCAGCATCTGCAGTTCCTACTGTCTCTTCTTTAACAGCACATTGTTTTTATTTCCTTAAAGATACTTACCCAATATGGAGTTGATAGGGCCTGCAACCATGACCACTGTATTTCCCTACCTCTCATTGCTTCAACTAACCAGCTTATCAATAAATCACAACTTCTGCTTCCTCTAGCATGATCCCACACCAAACTTTGGTCTTCTCCCTTTGGTCATTTCAGAAGAGACCACTCCCTTCAATGATAACCTGATCTACTTACGGAAAACTGCGAAGGCCCACTCCTCCTTCCTAAGGTAACTGTGCAAGCAAGCATATAACTGCTTCCCTTTAATTTACTTCTCTTTCACTTGGCCCCACATACTGTTTGCAGGTGAAACATTAATGACTTTTTTGAACTCCCGTAGTATACTGTACTCAGTGCACTCAATGTGGTTTTCTCAAGTTTGCAGAGACCAAAAGCAAACAGGGTGAGTACTTTGCTGCATGTTTTTCTTCAGTTTCCAAGCTTCCAGATGTCAATCTTTAATTTTCCACTTCTCTCCTATTCTGAACTCTCTACCCTTGCCTGCTGCAATATTTCAACAAAATGTATCACAAGCTGATTTTTCAAATAAGCATTTCATAGCATTCTAGATTCAACATCAAGTTCAACAATTTTAGTTTGTAACTCCTGTCCCCATTTCATATATTTTTTCCTTTTGGTTTGCTTTCTGTCAAACCACATCCCCACCACCCCTTTCCGTTGTCATTTTTTCTTCTCTTGCTTTCAGATAGCAACTATTCAGGATCCTGCTACATACACTGCTTTTTGACATGTTTTCTTTCTTTACTTGTCTCACGGTCATGTTCTTTGGTCCTGGTCCATGAAAAGTTTCACCATTTAATCATTCCTATAGTTCATGCTGTCATGGCCCTTTTCTTTTGGATCCCCCCACCCTCCCATAAAAAATTAAGTTTGTATCTCATTCCATAAATGCTTGCAAATCGAAGTATATCTACCTTTTTATGTTTTTACATCTATCTGCTAGTGCACCCATCATTCCAGCAGTTGGTGCATTCCAAAACCTAACCACTTGTTACACAAAAATATTTTTGCTCGTGTCACATTTGGTTCTTTTGATAAATAGCTTGAACCTGTCCTCCCTGTACCAGTCACTGGAAATAATTCTGCTTTATTTACTCTAGCCAAACTCTTTGTGAAACCTCTTAGCATTCTCTGGCAAGAACAAGGTCACCTTCTCCAACTTCTCATTTCTGGAACCATTCTCATTAATCTCTTCTATGTCCTTTCCGAAGTCTTCACGTCATTCCTAAAGTGTGTGATTCTTTAATTAAAACTGTTTTTCCTAATCAACCTGTTCAACGATGTTATTACACACTTTTGGAACAGGTGGGACTTGAGCCCAGGCCTCCCGGTCCAGGGGTTTGGGCACTACTGCTGCACCACCATGTTGGGGCATTGTTCTCAGTAAAGGTAACACTCCTAAAGTATGTGACCTTTACTGAGAACAATGCTCCAGGGTCAACCATTCTAATGTTTCATATAGTCCTTACCTCTACTTATAAAACTCAATATGCCAGATGGTTTACTTAATCTGTCCTGTGATCTTCACAGTTCTGTGCACAAGTCTTCTTGCACTCTTTTAAAATTATATTAGTTAGCGGCATTGAATCCCTTCATTCTTACTCTCAAAATAATCACACATTTTTCAGCATTTAATTTCACCTGTCTATGCCCTCTCTTAACTCACCGTGGGAGGACAGTAGTAATGCAAGAAGGCAGTCTCCTACCACTTGCTGAAATAATGCCAGGTAGGATTGCAATTTCTATGGAGTGCATGAGGCAGCCAAGAAATGTAGATGGACGAAGTGAGTATCCAATAAGATCAGAAGAGTACATTGTGGTGAAGTGTGGGGTTACTTATTTTGGTAGCAAAACAGAATGTTATTAAAAATGTCAAAACTTTTAATAATTTTCTGAGAGACTTCACTGAACACTGAAGTTAGCACGCAGGTAGACAAACCAATGACCAAGGTAAAAACATGCCGGCCATTTGTGCAAGGGAACGGAGTACATAGACCATACCTTTACAGTATTTTGCATTTAATGTTCACCTCTGTTTGGGACTATTTTTTATTATTCTTTACTTTGTCAGGAGACAGGGGCATCGCTAGCCAGACAACCATTTTTTGCTAATCCGTAATCACCCATGAATTGATTGGCTCACTAAGACAGTTCAGGGATCAATTAAGAATCTGAATATAATGAAGGTAAGAACAGGAGACAGACATGGAGGAGATGGAAATGAGAAAACTGAGAAGCAAAACAATAGGCACCAGGCAAAGACACCTGAAAGAATTTAGTTACAGAGATAGTAGGAACTGCCAATGCTGGAGAATCTGAGATAACACGGTGTAGAGCTGGATGAACACAGCAGGCCAAGTAGCATCAGAGGA